TGCATCGGTTGTCGATTTCTTCGACCGTTTCTTCGGTAAATCGTTTTCGGTTTGTCGATCGCCTCAGAGTTTCGTGCTCGCGTGCTCGTCCCTCGGCGGGGCGTCGGGCTTTACGTTCGTCACGTCTATTAATTCCGCGTTGAACTCCAGGACCCTTTTGCTCATACTGAACTCCTTCAAAATTGCCACGAGCTCCGCGTCCGTGTAAACGACCGGTATGATTTCCTCGGACAGCGACTGGACGCTCCGCAACACCTCCGCGGACGGCCGTAGCATTATCAGCCTGTGATTTTTTCCCTTGAAGTCGTTTATCACCGTATTCAAGCCCTGCGAAACGCGAACAACAGAAATAAATGCACACATTTCCGGCGGAAACGAGGAAATCTGTTCGGATTGGTCCTGAATCTTGCATCTGCTAGCGGTAGTTGAATTTGAATTTCCTTAATACGACGCTAGAGAGACACGCTATGCGTATTTATATTATATACGAGTTCTAACCGTTAAACAATAGACACGTAGCTCGATGAAAAAGGTAAAAAAAAGAAAAAGATATGCTCGGAGAGGTAAAATCCAGGACGAACGGTGCGTTAATAGCGTTGCACGTATTTACATGCGCCGCGGTGAAATCAATTTTATCGATATGCTTGCAGTCTAGCACGACGATTTTCGAGTTCTTAAAGGTTTTCAGTAGCTTTTGCTGATCGTCGGCCAGATTCTCCAACAGGTATATCCTCAGGTAATCTACCGCTGGGAAGAGCAGCCCGGCGCTGGGTCGCACGAGGATGTAACTCGCCGCGGGAGTCTGCGTTGACGGGAGATTCATTAGTTAACGAATAAATAAATGAGTAAATAAAATAAATAAATAAATAAACAAACAAACTAAATGAATAAATAAATAAATTAATAAATCAATAAATTAATAAATAAAGGAAATATTTTCAAAATAGCAACTTCTAAAACTCTTCGTCGATGATTGTTATGTATTTACATTTCTGTATTCGATATATATTGTCGGCCTGGCGTTGAAATAAATTAATATAGCCAGATCAATCGTCACCCCTATTAAAATTCCCAGCTCGACACCGGCGAACAAGCACGCGAAGAAAGTGGCGAAAGTTGGAATCAGATCCCGCTCTGAAATTATTCGAACGTATTATTTCGTTTCTTCGATCGCGCCGCTTTCTTCGATCGGCTACTCTACTCACTGCTGCATCTCCAGATCGGCCTTATTATCTTCACCTCGACCATGAATATTACCGCGCTGATTATAACAGAGCTCAGCGTCGCTCTCGGGATGTAGTAAAAGTACGGAGTGAGCAGGCTTAAAGCGAGGATGACTAGAATACCTGCAACCGATTCGACATTTTTACCTCTGATTTTCCCTCTGATCCTTCATCCCGCCGAGTTCCGGAGAACTCCCCTCACCCGTGTACACGCCGCCCAAAGGTGTCCTCACGCCGGAGGCATTGTTCACCGCGCTCCTGGAAAAGGAACCGGTCACGGGAATGGAGTGGCAGAAGGAACCTGCTATGTTGCACAGGCCGAGGGTGAGCATTTCTTGGGTGGCGTCGAGAGTTTGGCCTCGCGCTGCAATACGATTCGTCAGTTTTTTCTACCGAACCTCGCGGTTCCTCCGCTGGGAATTCTCCACGAAACTTACAGAAGGCCTTGGCAATCGCGACGTTCCCAATGATCGATATCAACGGGACGATGAGGATACCGGTGCCCAGGTTCTTGCACATGTCCACGAAAGTCTCGGTCTGGTTACCAACGGTCCTCGAAAATGCCGGTGGCTGGACGGACGGCAAACCCGCCTCGATGTGCCCCGTCAGTACGAACGGTGCCCCACCTCGGCTCTCGTAAACGTATGAAATCACCGCGCACAGAATGACGACGATAGCGTTCCTGCCGGTTCCCAGGAACCAGATGGACTTTTTCAGTATTCGGTTCGAGACCTTGGCGTCTTTCAGTTTCTGAAAAACGATTTTCCTTTTTCTTCGCCTAACAACTAAATAGCTCCGCTCGCATGAACGTCCGCGGCGAATTACCTTCAGGGTCAACAAAGTTAGAATGCAGCAGCAAGACAAGATCAGGTCAGGGATCCTGGTCTTGGCGATGTTGTTGACCAGCTCCGTCCAAATTTCGATGAAACTTTCCCCGTGGATCTTCAGGCCGAGCAAACTTTTGATCTGGCTGCAGGCGATGATGATGCTCGTCGCGGACGTGAACCCGGACACCACTGGGATCGAGACGAACTCGACCAGGAATCCTAATCGCAGTATCCCGAGGACGATGGTAACGCATCCCGACAGGAAGCACAGTAGGATCGCGTACTCGGGAATACCTCTGGAAAATACCGCGTCGAATAGGAAGAAGAGTGTGTTTAAATGATTAAAAATCAATAATTTTTCAGAGAATCGAAAGGATTTTCGCGTAACTTCCAACGAAGACGCGAGATGCTTCGAGTTCGAGGCGCGTTACCAGTTCGCTGAAAGAAAAACGGTCGCTCGCTTTTCGTTAGACCTAAAAATTAGATCATCTTGTTGACCCTGTTCTAGAAATTCACGGGCTGCCTCGTTTTCGTTAAGAATCTCTCAATTGCGTGGACCGACGGCGCGATAATCGCGGCAAGGGCCATCCTTTCAGCCGTCGTTGAATCATATTGCCCGTCGCAATTGCCGGCAATTAAGGATACGACCGAAACCGCCCATCACGGTCGTCCGTTCTCAGGCTCGGCTCCGAGTCTCTTCCGTTTAAAGTCCGAAATTTCGCCTCTTACCTCGCGTAGGTGTACGTCAGCAGCGAGATCAACGCGGTCGGGCCAATATTGACTTCTCGGCAAGTACCAAAAACAATGTAAACGAAGCTGCCCGCGAACGCGCTGTACAGCCCGTACTGGGGCGTCAATCCTGCCAGTCCGGCGTAGGCGATCGCCTGGAAGCAAAGAGGAGGACACGCGAGTAGAGAGACGTGTTCCCGGCGATCGGACTAGATCGGATAAGTAACATTTCGATAACCCGCGTCGCAGGAATGACATTGTGTAGCGTGGAAAGTACCTGAGGTATTAAGGTCAGGCCAACTGTCAAGCCAGCAACTAGGTCACCCAGCGCGTCTTTCGGCTTGTAGACCGGTAGCCATTTTAGAACCGGCACTCTGCTCTTCAGCAGCTTCTCGAAGCTGAACCCCGTCATCTTTCTGCCTCCGGCGATTGGACGTGTCTCCCTTCGCGTCTCTCTCTCTATATCATCGCGTCCGATTCGGAGTCCTGAAACCACACCGAAGCACACGACCGTTGACGAGAGGATGGTTCCGGTAATCGACCGAGCGCCGTTCGATCAGCGGAGATTTTTCTTATGCAACCGGCGTAGTCCCATTAAGCGAGCGCGCGTCGTCGTTTCGATTCACGATCGGCGAAACGAGCTGGCAATTAACGGTTCTTTCAACGGACAATTAGCGAGTGATTTTCGACGGCGAGTAGGTGTACGAGTGTCACCTGATCGCTTGCCACGTGAGAGCAATGCGGACACGTGATATTATCCTGCTTCCTGGTAGCGGCGCGTAACAGTCCCGCATATCTCGACTGCCTGAAAGATTCGCGATTATCGGCCGGAAAACATTTCATGCTGGAACATCGATGATCCAGCGCGCACTGTCCACTCTACGATCTTGTCAACTTGCTTTCTCTTTTTTGTCGCAGCTCGTTTTCCCGCGGGTTTCGATGTTTCCACGCGACGGAATCCTCGCGCGCTAATCGCGGCCGATGAGAGAAGTCTTCCACGCTGACTGAGCCTTACCGATTTGATGCGTCGCCCCGTACCTGCTCTATACACTGATTAAATCTACAGCTGTTTCACACGTGCCCGAGCCTCCCTCCACTTGGCGAACCTGCTGGTAAGTAAGTATGTAAGTACTGGTACTACTACGCCGGCCAGGATGCGAACGCATGCGTCGCTCCTCTCCTAAACGATCGCTGGGTTTGGCGAACGCGAATTACAGCTAATTCACCGACCAATTTGCTCTCTTTTTCTAGCTCCCGTATCCGGGTTACGCGGCATTCTTCGGCATCCTGTTCAGCGTTTTCGACGCTCTTTTGGACCAGCGTCGACGCGAAGAACCAGCGTACAAAAGAAACCAAAGGAAAATGAGAAGGAATCTAAATGAACCGTGTATACAGATAATTATTAGTGCAAGGACGAATGTTGGTGAGAATGAGAACGTTGTTATGTAACCTTGATTGGCTATAATGTAATTAGAAAATAAAAGAACGTTTGAAAGAACTTCTGCTGTATTTCAAGAGTAAACCCAATCCCATCTATCTTACGAGTCACTCTCAAGCGTAAAAATCGACGGGCTTCGAGGAGCACGGTAGAAATTGAAGGAAAAATTACTGGTTTAATTAACAATCGACTCGTCCGTGCAATTAAGGAGTCGCGTGACGAAAAGCTTGTTCTTCTCGGAACTTTCATTTAGCTAGAAAGCACAGGCGTATCAGTGGAGCGCGGGATTTCACAACGAAAGCACGCGGAAAGACGTTCGCTCGGATGTCCAAGAGAGTAAAAGTGATCGAGGATCCGTGTCGCGGCGACGATCGCTCGCGATAATCGTTTACTGCTCTCGCGAGACGCGACAAATCGAAACAAACGGCGCGCCGCGTGGAAAGCGAGCCGGCTCGCGTAAACTTTTCATTCTTTTCCGCTGGAACTTGATCGGCGTTATCAAGGAACGCGGATTTATTACCGAGACACTCCGTTTCCGTTCGAGTCCTTTTTGCCATCGCGCTGCACCAGTTTTTCTCTCTCGGACTTCACCGTACCGTTGAAATTCTCAACGTGTGTGGAGCTGTAGCTTGTACGTCTGTAAATTACAAGGCCACACCGTGTTCTTGGATGACGACGTAGTTTGCATGCCAACGTCGCGCGGCTACGATAATACGCACGCTCCAAAAATCAAACAGATACTTTCTATGCCTCGCGAACGGGAATACTGCGGAACTTTCGGTGTAATATTCGCGATTATTCCTGCTGACCGTTCGAACGGTGTACTGGTTCACACGAGCGATGTCGACGTGCCGATGAAATATGAAATGTTTCTGTATAATTGGAAGATAAGGGGCAAAGGCTGTGACTTATCGAGTTGAATTATTCTAAACCGCGAAGACCACGAGGCAAAATACACCTGTAGTACGTTTAAACGTCGGACATGCAAATGCATTGTTCTTTTCCGCCTAATGTTGACACAGCTTGAATCGCATCGTCTTTCGTACGATCGTAACTCAATTAAGGTTCGACAGGCAAGCGAGAAATATTGTTTGACGAGGCACGATGACGATGAAGTGGCATTGGAATCGATGAATCAACGGTATTTATAGAGTTCCGGATGAAATTCGATTCCTGGAGAACCTAGGAGAGTCAATAAACGCTGGGAATCCTGGAAGTTTCGATCACCTTACGTTAATCTTCTAGACTCGCTAATTCCCTGTCGGTGTCTCGCTCGATTTAAACTTTTCTACTTGCTCGTGTTTGCCCAACCGCCTCGCACCGCGATTGTTTGCAAATGTAATCCGGACGCCTAAAAATACTTGCGGTTGACTGTTCGGGACAATCGACTGTTTGAAAACGTGGCAAGTTCAGGGGCACATCCTGTTTCGTAAGAGCCTGTTACGTCGTGTCAAACAAAAAAAAATAGAAAAAACGAATATTCTCTACGAATACTGTGAAATTCCACGTAACAACGTTCTTTTAAAACTAATTATATAATGGCTACTTTTTTAACTATAGCGTACTGCAATATAATTTTTCCGTATCTATATATTAAATTAAGTAGTTTTTAAACATCGCATTAAAGTATAACACTTCGACGATATTTGTCTTTAATTTTTTTCACTAGACATGTGCAGGTTCGACGGGTTATTAATAGCATTCAATTGCAATTATATTTTTACATAGAGAAATTCGGTAGCGTAATGCTGGTTGCGGTGAGAAAGGGGCATCGCATCCCCGCAATGAGTAAGACAAGGACAGCACGAGTGTGCGACAAGGATAGAAGATTTTGGTCGCGGGCGATAGTGGCGCCATCTAGCGGACGGGCGTTTCCGAAGCTTTTCCCTATACCCGCAATGTGTAAGACAAGGACAGAGCTAGTGTGCGACAAGGACAGAGATAGTCTCACTCGCGCCACCTACTAAGAAAAAGCATCTCATCAGTCCCTGGTACCTACTCGTGAAGCATCAGGACCAAGGAGGTCGTACGAATAGCTAATCAAGTGCTGCCATCTAGCGGCGAAAGCCAGGAACTAAATGCGACATGTCGATGGTGATGAAACAACGGAATCAGCAGCGAATTCATTAATAACTCGACTATTACAAATAAATTGTTAACTTTTGCAATTTAGGATTGTAGAATGGACCTTTCCCTAGTTTCCCATGTCGCCATCGATAGGATTTTGTACCGCGTTAAGTATTTATTAATTATTCTTTGGGACGATGTCACAAGATAACCTTAAATTTTTTGACAGGCAATGAGGAAATTATTAAGTTTCTCAATTAATAGGCACAATATGTGAATGTTTGTAATTGAAGAAGTTGAAGTAGACCCTAGTAATCATTACAGTAGAGTCTGGACTTGATTTCGGCTGTAATTAATTAGCTATTAGCGAGTTTCGATGTATTGACTGCGTTCCATTAGAACGCAATAATTAAGATAGAAAAGGATATATGGGTATTACTGAATGATGGTTAGCAGTGCACTTTACCTTCACCAATTCCAAACATTCGCGAATTGTGCGTATTAAATGAGAAACTTAATGATTTGCGCAGCACTTGTCAAACGATTCTAGCCTATGTTGTGACATCGTCCGGAAGAATAATTAATAAACCACTAATGCGGAACAAAATCCTATTAATGATGATACAAGAAACTAGAGGAAGGTCTATTCTATGATCCTAAATTGCAAATGTCAACAAATTATTCGTGGGAGAAGAGTTATTAATGAATTCGCTGCTGATTTCGTCGTTTCTTCTCCATCGCCATGTCGCATTTAGTTCCTAGCTGTCGCCGCTAGATGGCAGCACTTGATTAGCTATCCGTGCGACCTCTTTGGTCCTGATGCTTCACGAGTAGGTACCAGGGACTGATGAGATGCTTTTTCCTAGTAGGTGGCGCGAGTGAGACTATCTCTGTCCTTGTCGCACACTATCTCTGTCCTTGTCTTACACATTGCGGGTATAGGGAAAAGCTTCGGAAACGCCCGTCCGCTAGATGGCGCCACTATCGCCTGCGCCGACGATTGTCTATCCTTGTCGCACTCATTAGCAGGATGCCCCGTACTAGCTGCAACCGTTATTACGTGAAATTCCTGTCGCTCTAGCAAATTGTATCTAATTATTCAGTATAAATTCGAGAAACCTGATGAATTGACACGTTCAGTGGTACGTGTACCGCATATTGTACACGCGAATTTCTCTAAGAGAATATTTTTAAGGGAATGCTTAAGAATAGCGGTTACACAGCACCGAAACTATGAAGGAACGATATCAAAATATATAAAAATAACCAAAAATTTGAATATAATTTAATATTATATTTTAAAAAATCAATACAGGCTACAAGCAAAATATAACCGAAGTTTCAGTGGCACGGAACGTGTTAAGCGAACAATTAACGTGCTCGTTCGAGTTAGAAATGATCAATTGCTCGGTACGAAGAGACTATACAGATGATGAATAAAGAAACGGTTCGCTAAAAAGCCCGAGCACAGTGTAACGAAGATCGTTCCAACTCTTTCGAGGTGACAAGGGGTTGAACTGCAGTTCTCGTCCTTTTTTTTCGGCCTCCGGGGAAATCTGAGGTCGAGCCGGGGCGAAAGGGGTTGGGAAAAGGCTAAAGGTGGCGCGAGGGAGCGCCGCGCGGAAATCGCAGGACAGTGGTCGCTTATTTGAAGTCAGGTGACAAGCCGGTAGCCGGATTCGATTGAGTCCGTTGGTTACTCTTTCATCGGGTTCCTCCGCGCTGGGAATTTTAGATTTGATTACAAAACGCGTCCTCCCACCCTCCCCCGCCATCGGCGTCGTCTCCTCCACATCCGCCGCGATCGAGCTCTCGCCCTTGCAGCTAGCGATGGGACTAACACCCTCTAAACTGATACGTTTCTTGCTTCATTCCCATTACCGTCGATAGAAACGCTAATCAACGCAGATTGTTCGCCTAATTAACCCCTTGCCTCACAACAACATGTGAGACCCGCGAGGAAAATTTTCAACAGAAGTTAATAAACATGTATGTTACTCAAAATTACTGTTATCAATTATTACATTGCAGAGCAAAGGTAGACATAGAATATGCTTAGAATTTTTCTCTTCTTCTCAATAAAGTATTAATGACAAAGTAGGTGTATCATCATAATTGACAAATAAATCGCAAGGCAATCGCAACCGCGAAGTTACAAACTTCCGTTTGATCGATGTTTAAAAATCTATCGATATGATTAACGATTATATCGAGCATTTCTAGTAGATGAAATTCATCCGGAGTGGAATGCGTTAAGAATGATCCTCGCGAGAGTCGAGAAACGAAATAGAGGATCAGGGATCGTTTCCGTCGCTACTTCCAACCGCGTCCGCAACCCCGTTCCGGCTGCACCGATGAAAAACTCTTGTTGCTCGATCGCGACGGAATTATTGGCCGACCGTGCTTATTTATGGCGTTCATTTTCCTGGAGATTGCAGGAGAGGACGGCCCCGGTCTCTCTCGCACCGGCTCGATTTTTTTGCGGGGCCACGTCGATCCGCGATTTACGGCGTGTCAGCTGAGAGGTGAACAGGACGTTGATAACGACGACACTTTGACGTGGAGGATCGCCGGGGCCCGGTTCTCGCGGCGAAATTAATTCCCGCGGTCTTTCCGGTCCTCGCGACGACCGGAAGCGGTCGGCGGGGACGTCGGCGTACGTCGACGGAGAAAGAATTTTAGAGCGAGCACTCTTGCGTAGGTTTCTCCTCGCCGGAGAATTTAATCTTTCACGCCTGTCCATCGAGGAATTATTCGATTCGTTTAATTGCTTCATTCATCTGTTAATACTCGATTGCGCGGCAGTCATAGGACACGATTAATTACTTCGTCGGACGGAATATAGGTAAATGCGATGGTTACAGTAAGAAGATAATTAAACGGAACACATTCTGTAGCGAGAAGATAATGAGAAATTTATGTTTACGGTTCGTCTGGTTTCTCTAACTTTAGAAAATTCAATTATTACAACTTAGAATCACCTTTTCATAGATTTCTTAGTGATTGACACTGAGAACTTCGTTTTACAAGAGAAACATTGAAAAGTGGGAAATACTTCGGGGTGAATTCTATGAATTAAATGAATGAGACGATAATAAGGTGAGTAAGGAATGAATAAGTAACGATGTTGTATTGTTGTTCCTTAAGATACTACGTACAGTTGTGATTTCCAGTGGCACGGTACAGGAGTACTGTCTTTTTTGCAGGCTTCGTGACAGCAGGGGTCGCAGGGATGCACGGCAGCGATTAATCATCCCTGGATGACTTCCTGTCGCGACAGACGCAGTTATTGCATTATACATGATCGCCGGTTTAAATGGGATTAACACGGGATTTATAGAATTCACCGGCATATGCTGTCTGCCGGTGACTGAGCACATGATGCTGGCATCGTGAAAAGTGTGCGTTTAATACACTAATAAGAACTACTAATGTAGAAGACCAAGTGAAACATGTAGGAACATTCGCTTAAATAAACCACGCTAAGAAGTACTCGATATCCGACATGATTTTGAAAATAATTTCACTCGGATACCGAAAATTCCTAAAGAAATCGACAAAAAATGTATTATCACAGTCTTTATAAACATTACATATCAACGTCAATAAACTCACCGTAGTTCTAGTGTGAAAAATTATCTTAACACTAGAACTACCAACGATTTAAAGGTTTTAAGGTATCGATAATTGAAGTATAACAAATCTAAAACCCGCCATTTTGTCGGGCACGATAGTTCGAACGCGAAAAAATCGTCGTTTCGTAGTTTTCAAACGACACTGTCCCTTTGAGCGAAAGATTAATGTAGTCAGCATCATTGTAGATCCTTTACATATGGTGACGCCACCATATTATTTC